TCATATCCCACACGTGCTCAATTGGGGATAAGTCGGGAGATCTTGGTGGCCATGGTAACAATGTGACATCATTATGTTGAAAGAAGTCTATTGTGACTCTTGCAACATGTGGTCGGGCATTATCTTGTTGGAAAGTTGGATCTGCCAGGGTGTCAAGATAGGGTAAAAGATGGGGTTCTAGAACTTCGTGGATATAACGCTGCGCATTCATGTTACCTCTGATGAAGATTAAAGGTGACCTGGAACCATAAGCTCCAACAGTGTGATGAACATGCCTTTCAACAAAAAACTGTGGATTCCTCCTTTCACCACGTCGCCTTCTAACCCTGGCACGACCATCGTGCATGCCTAAACAAAATCGAGACTCGTCACTAAAGACAATACTGTTCCATTCCTGATCCCAGAGTGACCGTTGTCTGCACCACTCAAGGCGATTACGTCGGTGTTCTCGAGTTAAAGGGAGGACCCAGTGTGGCCGGTATGAAAACAAGCTAAAACTTCTCATTCGTCGGTAAACACTTCGCATGCCAATAGGTCTTCCGTGTTCTGCAAACCATTCATTTGCAATGGACCTGGTAGTGGAGAAACGGTCCCTTAAGGCCAATAATCTTAGGCGGCGATCTTCACGGTCTGTTGTTCTACGGCGGCGTCCAGTGCCACTTGCTCTTTGCGTACGGCCTTCTCGAAGCCATGCCTGACAACACCTAACCACAGTGTCTACACTTCTTTGCACTCTAACTGCAATTGCCCGAAAAGAAAGTCCAGCTTCCCGAAGTCCCACTATACGGCCCCTATCAAACTCACTAAGTTGACGAAATCGTACAGGTCTCCGTACTCTAGGCATCGTAACCGGTCGTAAAGGATGTCAAGAACCAAAATCCGCCAACGTTGATTCTTTACTGCGGCTGAAATATTCATTTTTAGAGCGTTAGTGAATTAAAAAAAAACAGTACAAAAACCGGAATGTCCAACTGATAAGGCTGAAAATTTTTTCACTTGTTATTTACAGTAAGATAAATACATTCACCAACTTTTAGTAAAATAAAACCATTTAAGCTGGGTGTTCGGATTTATATGTCACTTAGTATACATGAGGTTTCATTTACCAGACAAACATGGCGTTTATCGACATGAAAACCACAGGATACGTTTCAGATGTTACATTAACCATCGATAGATCATGTTACTAATTTCCGACGAGACAAACCGACGAACAGATACATGTCTGTCTGCTTTGTAGCTTTTGAAATTGGATCCAGTAGCAGCAGAGCTACACGAAACTACACTCTGATTTTTGACATTTTAGGGACTGTCCATCAAAAAAAAAACTTGCGGGACAAAGTTAAGAGTGGGAGGTGCAGGGCGTGAGAGAGGGTATATCTCAAGTTTTTGGCACTTGTGTATTTGTTTGCTTCTAAACACTTAAACCAAATGAAATATGTTCAATGTCCGCGTCAAGCGAAACGAAAATAGAAAAAAACATATCGCATTTTTATAAAGCAGGTTAAATGGGTTGGGACAAAGAACTTGCATACATATCGTCGGCTTTCTCACGAAGTGTCCTAACCAACGTTTAGTAAGTTTTACAGGAGAGCAAGAAAACGAAATCAGGGTACTGTTGAATGAGCACTATATGTAAAGTTTAGATATTTCGGAATTGAACATGTCAGTGCATCAACCCATATTCATTGTCGATCATATGCTGTTTTCAATATTTACGCTAGCTGATCAAGTTATTTTGTAACAAAATGGAAAACGCACGTAGGTCACTTCGTGACAATTTTCAGAAGCTTTTTGTCACATAGGGCTAAAATATATTTTTATTAAAGTTCTTATTATTACAGATATACAGAATTTATTTCATTTACTTATAAGCAAAGAATCATATTTACAGCCAAAGGGGCGATTATCTCAAAAAATGTGTTGATTGATAATTTTTTAAGTAATCGTTGGTCTGCTGACAGCAGAATTTTTGCAAAAAAGTTCAGATCGACTTTTGAATTTTGGCTACCTCCTACAACATTTCTCAGAGTGTCCAAGCCCTTAATTGATGTAGATTATGACACAAATATTAGGTGATAAGATGAAGAAAACAACTCGAAACGTCAAAGTAATTTTTATTGAAAAAACAACTAACTTAAACATTATCTTTTGACATATTACGAGCTAATTGTGTTATAATATACAAAAAAACAAAGGCAACAGTTTTAATACTTATTTCATTCCGTTTCATGGGGCAAATTTCTAAAAAACGTGTTGGAATTCTGGTAAGCGTACGATGGGTGTTGGATTTTCACATAAGGAAATTTAGTCGGAGTATTTCTATTTTGTTATTTTTGCTGGTTCCTTATTAAGTTGTTGTAGTTTAATATCATTTATATTATTACTATTTCTCAACGGTCTTTTTAACTCAATACTGTCATAACTAGTATCGTAGTGTCTAGACTTGAAAAATATTTTGGTGGGCATGTCTTTTCTTACCATAAAGTCCATAATACCCGTCCATTTAATATTTTGCCCTTTCTCAGTTTGCCTTGTGGACAACATTCTTAAATCTTTTGAAAGTTCCGTGAAGTCAAAATATTCATTGGGATTACTAAATAAGGTTGACGTCTTCTGGCCAATCGAAAAACCGGATAGAATTGTGAGACTTCAAAAAGATCGTCAGCTCCCTTTACCGCAGTATGAATTGCACTATGGGCAGAGTCTCCCTTCACTTTAGCCATGATTGGGCCACCGAGGTGCGTATACTAGCAACGATTATAGCATACTATAAGACCTATCCTCATTTAGGTCTCTTCGTGGGAATTATATATTTACCTTGACACCCAGGAGTTAATGATTTGTTACCTATACTAATAGATATACAAGGTGACTTTGAAGTTGAGTCATTAATTTTCAGATCATGATTGTACAGGGTGGGGCAAAAGTCACGAAGGGATTTGAAAAATTAATAACTTTTTTAAATTTATTTTGTTTTCATTTTTTTTTTCAGGACCGTGTAAAATAAATCCTGGAGATTAATTATGGAGCGTTACAACCTCAATCAACGAACCAAACTTATAGAATTTTATTTTGAATATCACCATTCAATAATTCAAACTCAACGAGCATATCGTCGTCATTTCAATTTGCGGAATTCGCCCTCTGAATCAATGATTCGACGCTTAGTGGCACGATTTCAGCAACAAGGCACAGTTATGGATCTCCCACGAAGCGGAAGGCCACGTTCCGCAAGAAATGAAGGGAACATTCAACGCGTTCAGGAGAGTGTTCAGGAGAATCCGGAAACCTCAACCCGAAGACGTTCTGCTGAGCTGCAGATGTCTCAAAGGTCTTTACGCAGAATATTAAGAGGAAATTTACATCTGTTTCCATATAAAGTGCAGCTAGTGCAAGAACTAAAACCAGCAGATTTTCAAGAACGACTAACTTATGCAGTTCGCTTGCAAAGAATGGCTCGAGAAGATAATGAATTTATTCATTCTCTGATCATGAGCGATGAAGCCCATTTTCATTTGAATGGCTTCGTAAATAAGCAGAACTGCAGAATATGGGGTACCGAGAACCCAAGGGTGGTTCATCAAAGGCAATTACATCCGCTTAAATGTACAGTATGGTGCGCAGTTACGTCTCAACGAATTATTGGACCATTCTTCTTCGAAGACCACGATGGGAATGCTGTATCTGTAGATGGCGACCGATATCGTGATATGATTCAAAATTTCTTAAGACCAGCTCTTGCTGACAATCAAACGATGACTTTCCAACAAGATGGAGCCACTGCGCATACTGCTCGAGCCACTATGCACCTTCTAAGGCAGATTTTTGGCGAACGTTTAATTTCGAGAAATTCAGGATTCAATTGGCCCGCCCGCTCGCCGGACTTAACAGCCCCTGATTATTTCCTTTGGGGATATCTGAAAGGAAAAGTGTATATTAATAAACCCACAACCCTGCAGCAACTAAAAGATAATATTCGAGCAGAAGTAAGTGCTTTGGGGCCAGATATTCTGACTCGGGTAATGGAAAATGCTCTTGCAAGAGCTGCACTTTGCGAGGCTGAAAATGGCGGTCATTTGCGTGATGTAATCTTTCACACTTAAATTGTAAACAAACTCCAAACATTGCATTTTAGTTTTGTGTTAGGGAAAAAAATTAAAATTAAAATTTAAAAAGTTATTAATTTTTCAAATCCCTTCGCGACTTTTGCCCCACCCTGTAGAAGGAAGATAAACCAAAATATGTGTGTAAAAATAAAAAATAAAATTAAAAAAAAATTTACCTTGTTTTATAAAGTATCCTCCCGACAAGTATTTCAGTGCGGACCTGTATTTGATCGTGAGGTCTTGGAGCACCGGCATGCCGTCTCCATGTGAGGTCTTAAGTCACCTGATTCACGAGCCCATTGTACTACATTAACAAAGGCACGAGGGGTTGGGTGCACTCGAATGGGAAACCGATCCACATAAACATGTGCCATTTTTTATTTCGTTTGAGCCACGCAACAGACTTACGCGTTACCGACTGACACTGACTGTATACAACTGAATGAAATAATTGTAAAAACATCGTTCCAAATTCTTTCGCTTTTTTGTTTCCGATGCGATGAACCGATAAGGCGGATTATATCCGTTGTTGCCAAACACGAGCACATAAGATTATTATTGAGACAGGGCGGTACTCAAACTTCCAAAGGGCTATAACTTTGTTACTTTAATTTTACCAGAAAAATGGTAAAGGAAAAAAACATTTCTTTTGATCAGATCTACTCACTGTCAAAATAAATGACTCAACTTCGAAGTCACCCTGTATAGTTATGCCTCTAAGTCAGATTAACCGGCATGAAATAATACACCTATATGCGGGTTATCTCAATGTTTGCTATTTTGTCAGTTAGGACACTTCGTGAGAAACGCGACGATATGTGACTCTTTTATCACTGAGTATATTTTCAATGGTTAAAGTGAAATTCTGGAACTGATCAGGAGTTTTTGCAGTGAACAGCCTAAAATGTTACGAATGTACAATTTCGGATGGACCAGCATGTGAGCACGTTCTAACCAGCGGGAATATCTCCAGTACCAACTGCGAATTATCAGTATTCAATGTAGACTTTACTCAATCACGAGGAGGTGAGAATATTCGATGCCTCAAAACTATTGAAAGTAAGTATTACGAACGGTTTGTTCGCTGTTTCGATTAGTATTAGGTTTACAAGGTTTAACATTTAGCTTTTTCCAGGGAACCAAACACATACATTTTACACACGCAGGTGTGCGTTCAAATCGGAAGGCAACATATGTGACACAAAAACCTACAAAGACACGGAGCTTTTAGAATGTCATTTATGTCAAACAGATCTCTGCAACAGTGGAACCATGCTGAGTGTTCCAGTTATCGTTATATTAATATTGTTTATTTTTTCTTTGTAATATTTGAAGGTATAATAAATAATAAAATGAATTTGCACATATGTTAAGGGCAGTCTTTAATTGAATGTGAGAAACTCATTCTGGTAAATAATTTAGTGAAACAATAATTGGAGAAAGAATCATTAGTTTTATATTTTTCGTAATGTTCTTTCATATTCTTATACACTATTCAAAGAAAATATCATTTGAATTATTTAAATTTTTCAGGGATATTTGTTAATTCGGTGAGAGATCGTCGTATTACACTGGATAACAAATTTTAGTTTTTTAATTGTATCTTGTGGGAAAAGTGCACTTCTTTGTTAATTTTGGGGCGCTGAATCCAAAAATGACAATGAAATAAAAAAATTAGTTGCGGTTTAGAAAAAAATTTTAAGGATATATTAAAAAAAGTAACAAGATTCATATACTTATAAGAATCACTATATGCGCTGTCTTTTTGCTGTTCTTTTATGGATCGTTTCTGGAGCATCTCTACCAAGAGTCCAACAGTAGTCTGCAAGCATGGAAGGATTCCACTTTCGCTGGTACCTTTTTCCATTGTTGAAATATCCTGATCAAAACGTTCGCCGTGCTCATCACTTACGGCTCCGCAATTGTCAGGAAAAAAGTCCAGGTGTGAGTGTAGGAAATGTATCTTAAGTGACATATTACAGCCCATCTTTTGATACGATGACAGCATATTTTTGACAAGGGTTTTATAGTTGTCAGCTTTTCTATTTCCCAAGAAATTAGTGGCCACCAGACGGCAAATCATTCCAAGCAGTTTTTTCAATACCTGTTAAAGTGTTTTCAAACTGTGTATCCTTCAAAATATTTCGAATCTGTGGCCCAACAAAAATACCTTCTTTAACCTTTGCCTCACTTAGTCTTGGAAATTTCTGACGCAGGTATTGAACAGCTGACCCATCTCTATCTAATGCCTTGACAAAGTTTTTCATTAGGCCCAACTTGATATGCAGTGGTGGTAATAAATTTTTTTTCGAATCTACTAATGGCATATGCTGTAGATTTTTTTGACCTGGCTCTAGGAATTGACGAACAAGCCAGTTTTGTCTGCTGTAATGAAGTGCCTTTGCCCGACTGTCCCATTCACACAAAAAACAGCAAAACTATGTGTAGCCTAGCTGCAGCCCAAGTAAAAGTGCAACAACTTTCAAATCGCCACAAATATGCCATTGGTGCTCATCGTATTTTATGCATGTCAATAGGTACTTCATATTGTCATATGATTCTTTCATGTGAACTGCATACCCTACAGGAAGAGATGGTAAAATATTTCCAATGTGCAATAACACTGCCTTTAAACTAAATGTTGAGCGGTCTATAAACAATCTCCATTCTTCAGGGTTATAGTTTATATCTAAAGCCGCCAGTAAGCCGTTAATGTTACTGCAGAAAACCAAGTTATTCTCCATATTGAAAAATGGTTCTAAGTCTTTGTGGCGTTTACGAAAAACACATACCGAAACATCGTCTTCTAACAAGTTCCACTGCTGCAGTCTTGATCCAAGTAACTCTGCCTTACATTTTGGAAGTTCTAAATCTCTTACAAGATCATTTAATTCTGACTGTGTTATTCTGTGCGGTTGGTGGCAAGACGTGCTCGGTATAAAATCAGGATCTCTTGACGTTGATGGCATATCTTCTTCCTGACGAATCACTCGATCGCCATGATCTAATTCGTTTTCTGATTCGCAAGTGTAGGATTCTGGGGGTTTTGGAATAGGATTTTCGTCACTGTGAGGCACAGGTCTCATCGCAGATGGTATGTTTGGGTAGTTAATAACCGATTTTTTTTTCTTGGACATATCTGTGGCTTGTCCAACACAAGGTACCATGCAAAAGTAACAATCATTAATATAATTTGTAGGCTCTCTCCAAACCATTGGGACAGCAAAGCGCATAGACCGTTTTTTGCCATTTAACCAGCTCCTCAGACTTGAAGCACATGTATTACAGCAGATGTGGGGTGCCCACTGTTTGTCTTGATCACCTAGTTTACAACCGAAATAAAGCTGATATGCATTTGTTATTAGTAGAGTAATAGACCGTCTCTGAGACGCAAAAGTCACATCACCACACACGTAACAAAATTGATCTGGATTGTTTACACACTTTCGAGACATCTTGCATGAACGCTGTCAGCCAACTGAGGAAAAAATGGCTAATATAAAACAATATAATGTACACGTATGTATAACGTAACACAATCATGCCGATTACATCATCTTTCCTTGCCGAATATAAAAATTAATAATATTGAAAAAATAAGTTTCATTCCGGTTTTAGCACATTAAAAATAGTAATATTTTGTTGATTTTATTTAGGATATTTTTTGGCTTTTGATCAGTGTTATCTGCTCTTTGAAAAAGCATTTTCAAGATTCTGGTTTTCAGGTTTTTGGGCGAAAAATTTTAGGAGCAATGGTTCTCATACAATTCTAACAGATGCGCAAGAAAAACTTTGTGCAAAATTTTTGCCTTCTTCTTTTTAGTGCACGGGGTTGTAAAAAAATGTTTCTGTCCGGCCTCCTATAAGATTTGATTACAATCCTTGAGGATTTTTTTTTGTTCCCTAAGTATTGATTTTAAAAACGTCAAAAAAGTTATTGCCTTGTTCTGGAAAATCGACCGCACTTTTGGAACTGCTAATGAGAAGGCTAATGTGTTCAGGTCTTTTATACCTTAATGTACCCCTAATAATCCTGTACGACGGTAGATCTATCCAATGTACGATTTCCCACGTCCGATTGGTCAAAATTTTAAGGAAATCGAAGGAGCCTTCCTGGTCGATTTTTAAAAGCAATGCAAAAAGTAACTTTTTTGACGAAGGAAACAAAATCCTCAAACATCGCAATCAAATGTTACATGAGAACTCTTCTTAATGTCATACCTCTACATTCTTCCGAATTTTAATAACGAGATATTGAAGCTGTATAACCGAGATATCTAATCCATATTATGGTCTAACAGAAAGCATCTTTTTAAGCCCGTGTACTAAAGAGAAAGGGGCAACAATTTTGCAAAAAGTTTTTCTTGCGATTTCCGTTACAATTGCAAGGGAACCGTCGCTCCTTAAATTTTTCGGACAAAAAACTTAAAACTAGAATCTGGAAGCTTCTAAATATTTGAATAGTGTAATTGTGGGGACTCCGTAAGCGGGCCAAGAATAAGAAATATATAGCATTTTATAAAAATCAAGAATTTAACTGAAGCTACGTTCCCACAAAGCATGACAAGCTAAGGTGCCTCTTGCAATCATGGAATATCTTTCGGCTGAACGAGGTGTCGCGAGTACGCCTGTGACGTCATCAAGATAGAACACCTTAGAAACCGAAATTTCGGTCCAATTCTGGTTGCGACCGAAACCGAAACCGAAACTGAGGAGTATGTTATGGAAAGTTGGGAGGTAAGATAGTAGAGTATCTCCAAGAAAAAACAAACTCAGTCTTTATCAATTAATAATGGGTGATTTTTTTGCTACTATCTTTTTGGCAACACTGTTTTTGACAGATGACGCGTGAATCGTGTCTTGTGTTATTGTCAAACTTGTTCAGTTTGGTCTATAATTTAACCATGAATCGACGAACAACGCTTGCAAATTATTGAATTTTACTATCAAAATTCATGCTCGGTTAAGAGAGTGCATCGAGCACTGCTTCCAATTTATGGGCAATTTGGTCGGCCTACCGAGGGAGCTATTCGGAAGCTTGTGACTAAATTTTGAACCCAGTTTACATTATTGGACATTAAACCACCAACACGCAGACGTAGAGTGAGGACTGAAGAAAATATTGCTGCTGTATAAATTGTGTTCAGCGACGAAGCTCATTTCTGGTTGAATTGGTACGTTAACAAGCAAAATTGCCGCATCTGGAGTGAAGACCAGCCAGAAGCATTGCAAGAGCTACCAATGCATCCCGAAAAAATCACTGTCTGGTGTGGATTATGGGCCGGTGGCATCATCGGGCCGTACTTCTTCAAAGACGACAATGGCCGGAACGTAGCTGTGAATGGCGAGCGCTACCGTGCGATGATAACAAACTTTTTTTTCCCAAAATGGAAGAGCTGGACTTGGCTGACATGTGGTTTCAACAAGACGGTGCCACATGCCACACCGCACACGAAACAATGGCCCTATTGAGAGGCGAGTTCGGTGAACAGTTTATCTCACGTTTGGGACCCGTCAATTGGCTGCCTTGATCGTGTCATTTAACGCTGTTGGACTATTTCTTGTGGGGCCATGTTAAGGCTAATGTCTACAGGGAAAAACCAGCAACGATTGACGCACTGGAAGCCAATATTGAAGCATTTATTCGTGAGATACCGGCCGATATGTTGGAGAGAGTGTGCCAAAATTGGACCTTGCGCATGGGCCATCTAAAGCGGAGCCGCGGCCAACATTTACATGAAATAATCTTTAAACATTAAATTATATCGACCGTTCTATCGACTCAAAAAAAGATTTAATCCTTTTTTTAAATTTTTTTGAAAATCAAAAAATAATAGTAGTTTATTAAGGAGAAAAATCTATCTCTATGTAATATCTAGCAATCACTCTTTATAAAATATTATTAAAACTTAGGTCAAGAAAACCGAAACAGCACTACATTTGTCTCTTAAAGCACAAAGAATATAATGTATTCTTGAAGCCAACATTTTGTAAAAAAAACAGACAATGAAACAAAAATAACAACTTTTGACCTTATCCACCAACACTAACCTTAGTTTAGACGGAAACCTAGTTTAATTTGAAGATTTCTATTACACAAGTACTAAAACACCGTTTTACATTTTGATAAATGTGTTAAATGTTCAAGTTTTTGGAGGTTAAATATATCGTATTAGTCTCCAAAAATGGATTTTTAATTTGGGTCTCCTTGACCTCATAAAAATGAAAATTGTTTTTAACTAGGAGATGCCTGAAAATTAACCTGAACTGGAATTACCCAATGATTATTTGTGAGTTATTGATAACAAAAATCCCTAGATTTCTGTAGGCTTGCAAAACTCAAATCGTATGTTGGTGCATCAGGCCATTAAAA